ACAATATACAGCCTTGATGTACTCCTTTTCCTATTTGGAACCAGTCTGTTGCTCCATGTCCAGTTCTAACTGTTGCTTCCTGACCTGCATACAGGTTTCTCAAGAGGCAGGTCAGGTGGTCTGGTATTCCCATCTCTTTCAGAATTTTCCACAGTTTATTGTGATCCACATAGTCAAAGGCTTTGGCATAGTCAATAAGAATGGTAATGTCCCCCAAAAGGGTCAAAGCTTCATCTTAGATTCTGGAGTAAAGATAACATAGAGCAGAGTCACGGCCCATCAAAGCTGACATTAACCAAATGAGAAATACACCTTTGTTGTTGTAATTACAGCATAAACTAATAAAAGTTAATTAGGTACAAGAATTTGTTAATAACTAGATGTCAGTTAATGGTTACACTTGAAAACACAAAAATTCAAATTCAATTTAATAGAAGACTAATAATGTAAATTATGACATAATAGAATTCAAAAGGAACTTAAAAAAAATATATATATAGTATTTGTAGTAAAAGAAGTTGACTTAATGTTGAATTTTCTTCTTGATTTCTGGCTTGAGTCCCTGCATGGTTATTCCAAGTAAGAATCAACATTTTTTAAAAACTGGTCTTCATCACTCAGATATTCCAAGATAATATTTCCACCATTGTACAAAGGACAATCCTCCTTAGCAATCCAGGTTTCCAAAATATGATCCAAGGGTAAGGCCTCTCCTGAGACACTGTGACATAACCTCAATTTCTTAGCTGTTAGTCTGTTGTTGTCATTTTTAAGGATGGCTAAAGAAGCTGCAAAGTCTGTGGCCTTTCCGACACTCCATCCTCGGCAAAAGAACATGGCTTTCCTCTTCTCTTTTCTCTTAGGTAAGAAAACCTGAAAGTAAATTCTTTCCGTCTGTGGCAATGATTTATCTCCAGCAGCATGCATCTTTAATTTCATCAGTGCTACCTTTGCAGCTGTTTCACTATTTTTTGCACCTTTCTGTCGTTTACTTGCTGTCTCTCCTGTCTTGGAATCAATAACGTCTTTGACGAGTTTCTGAGAGGCAGCCATACGAGGCCTAGGGATTTCCAGTTTTTCACAGTTGTGATCTGACTGATGACGGTGTCTCAGGCAGAAGTTCTTCTCACAGTAAGGACACATGATGGGCACAAGCTCTCTCTCAGCACAGTCCCTGAAAGAGCATGGGTGAGATGCATGGGTGTCTGACTTCGTTCTCTTGTTGAGGACAGTCACCTCAGGACAGCTATGGGACTCTCTGCTCCTGTGTTCAAGGCAAAATACTCCTGAACATCCATCACATACAAATGGAAGAAAATCTAGGCGCCGGCAGCGTTCCACCTGGCAGTGCCGCCCGACGTTCAGCTCCGCCATCTCCGCGCGCGCGAGAGGTCTATTATTGCTTATTCAGCCATTCTCTTTAATGCTATTGTTCACCTCAGCTTGAAATAATATCAGTACTTTGAGTGATCTCTCTGTTCCTCTTAATATTCAAATAAAAGGCAGCAGGAAGTAGAGAGGATTTTTTTTTCCCTGAGATCTTGTGAAGTACACATCTGTACCTAGGCTGTCTGTACTTAATCTTTGGGTTTCTGAAAGCCAGTGTGAAAATGGATCTCTCACTCTTGGTGAAGGAGCAATATCGTTCCTGCCAAAATTAGTCTATATTATATAGTTGCTCAATCCCTTTTGTATATTAATATTAGAGTTTTGAAACTTTGATTGCATCCATCCTCTTAGCATCATTTCTCCCTATGTAAGTTATCTAGAGTTGGCAATCAGGGAAAACTTTCCCTGGTATTCTAACTTTTGTATGTTTACATCTTGAGAATAGGCTAAAATGGAAGTAACATAAAAACATTAAGTTTTCTGTGCCAACTACTGTATGTTTCAGGAAATGATTTGGTATATAGTATATTGATATATAAAGTCAGTATTTAATTTTTGAAGGGAAATAAAAGCCAACATAAGAACAGGTATCCTGTATTGGCTCTTAAATGAATTAATGAATTAAGCATATTCATTCAGCCAGTATTTGTTGAGCACCTACTATATTCTGGATAGAGTTTAAGTCTTAAAGACAAAGCTTTAAAAAAAGACAGTCTTTTCTTTCATAAGCTTAACATCTACCCTGGATTATTTTATGTCATTTCAATTTATATGACTTAAATGTCCCATATTACATTTCTTGAAAGTTGCTCAGTTGCGTCCGACTCTTTGTGACCCCATGGACTATAGAGTCCATGGAATTCTTCAGCCAGAATACTGGAGTGGGTAGCCTTTTCCTTCTCCAGGGAATCTTCCCAACATAGTGTTCGATCCCAGGTCTCCCACACTGAAGGCAGATTCTTTACCAGCTGAGCCACAAGGGAAGCCCAAGAATACTGGAGTGGGTAGCCTATCCCTTCTCCAGCGGATCTTCCCAACCCCGGATTTGAACCTTGGTCTCCTGCGTTGCAAGTGGATTCCTTACCAACTGAGCCGTTAGGGAAGCCCATTTACATTTGTTAATAATTCAGTATTATACACTGTGAACATTATCCCCTAAAATCATCAGCAATTTTATCTTCTAAAAATGACTCAAAAATGCAAGTTTTATACTCACTTAACTTACATTTTCTATGAAATTTTGAATCTTAAAAGGATTATTTTCTTAATTGGAGTTCAACTGATATACAACATTATTTTCAGGTGTACAACAGTAATTTGTCATTTGGATAAGTTGTGAAATGACATAAAATTTATCTAATAAAGAAAATATTTTTAGATTTTTTTTCTGTATAAGCATGTATTTTGTATGCCTTTGCTGAAAAATTAATTCAATAATTTCTCCTCCCCCCATTTTATACCTTTAATTACCTCATCTAGGTTTGCATGAGATCAGAAGATAATTGAACACATGTAAAATCTAGTCATTTCATGATCATACTCTTTAACTGTGTACATATAAATTCTACTCAAATTCTAGTGGGTTTTGACATTTTTGATCATTTATTTATTTTTGAAATGAAGAAAAAGGAAGATAAATGACAAGTTATTCTCTTCTTTTCCAATTACAAACACGGGTTAGAAAAGCCAAGTTCAGTCAGCTAAAGATGAGTTATCTACAAATGAGCCTACTTGGAAACAGATTAGCAATTTAAATGACTAAGTTAATAAGATCCAATTATGGCTAATTTGCCTATCCTTTCTTTCTCTTGCCCTCCCACAGGCTTCAGAGGGTGAGTGCCTTGCATGAATTCCTGGAAGCAATGGGGAGGTTTGTAAGGCAGGCACGTTTGTAAGGGAAACACAGTCACATTTATTACACCTGCTGTAGCTATATGGGTTCTTCTGCCCATACACGTAAATGTGTACATCTGTAAATTGTTAGTTAAAATATATATGTGTATAAACACACATGTATGCATATTTGTGTATGTATATCATGTAAAGTGTGTATTTGTGTATAGTATGTATACACTTGTATTATATAATGTGTGTGTGTAACATGACCTGTGTGTCTGTGTATGTACACATATACAACGATGTGCCAAACAATGCTATGATTGCTTCTCTCCTGTCTCACCTCTCTGACTTACCTTTCCCTAAAGACTCCTTCAAGTCACACTTTTCCCAGTTTGTTGACATCTTGCTCTGGGCCTTGCTTCTTCTTCTTCTTTTTTTTTTTTAATGTACCTTTGTTCATTTTTATGTCAACGTATATAGCTCTGAAATGTTAACTCATTTATGTTAATAATATAACATTATTATGTTATTTAAGACTGTTGGTATTATAAGTAAAAACTTATTTAAAAGAATTTGAGATTCTAGAGATTTTTATCATTATTGCAGCATAGATTAACTTTACAAGTTAATTTCTGCTAAAATACAAATAGCATTCTGCCAAGCACTGTAGGGCTCAAAGAAGACACTTATGTTTATATCACAGTTTTGAAACTGAAAAGTAACAGGACGTAAAGGCAAATAGTTGAGGGATTTGGGCTGGGCATTATTGGAAAAAAACTGAACAAACGTGCTTTCTAAAGTTTAGAAGGAACCTCTAGTAATAGTTCCAGATGGGACAAGGAGTGGAAATAATTGATGCAAAAAAGCCATCTGAAGTGATTAGAGATACAATAGAACACAGTATAATATCCTTAAGAATTGTTAGGCAATAAAGTGTCATATTAAAGAACAAAAATGGGATTATGATGTATAGTTAGTGTTGCTTGTTTGTTTTTAATGGGGTAGTGATGATTTGGTAATGAGAGAAACTATATTCAGGATTTCAAATGCTGGCTACTTTTGTGATCAGAAGAGAGTGTCCAGTTTTATGATTTTCTCCCCCTGGGGGCTCAGTGGTAAAGAATCTGCCTGCACTGGGGACCCAGTTTCAGTCCCTGCATCAGTAAGATCGCCTGGAGAAAGGGAATGGCTACCAACTCCACTATTCTTGCCTGGGAAATTCCATAGACAGAGGAGCTTGCTGGACTACAGTCCATGGGGTATCAGATAGTCAGACACGACTGAGTGACTAACATACATGAATACATCATTTGTTTTAGTCAGTAGGTTATATTCCTGTGACTCATGAATTAATAAACATATCATTTAATATGTATATTAAATCAAGTCTATCAGGTAAGCCCTCAAAAAGATTAGTAGCTATGATAGTTTATACATGTAGCTCACTTACATGTTACCATTATCAAGTGACTTTTATAAAATGACATGTAATGAATTAGAATACACAGAGCAAATTGTAGAAAACACATATGTATGTGAGCATCTCCCATTACTGTGTTGCATAGTTAGAACAAGTCCTCTTGTGCTGGAGAGTGAATCTTTTAAAAATAAGGAAGGGGAAAAATTAAGCATTTAACAAACTAATGCAAGGAGATCTATGAAATAACATATGGACTTCTTTAATATATACTCACTGACTTATTTCCATACTTAAATGATCAGTATTTTAAAAAGGCTTTAAGATGATCAGTTGTTTGTGGTATTATACAGGATTGTCAGACAATAACTATGAAAAAAGTTTTTTTTTTAATTACAGCTCTGCCGTTTTAGTAGAGTGCTTTTCCTAACCAAATCACTCACCTATCTTTGAGGATTTATTACTAGTATGCCATCCATTTTTGAAATAGCCCGTGTACAGGATAAGCTGTCTTGAATCTGTGTGTATAGTAGATCTAGCATACAGGAAAATGGGTTTTGCTTTAACTAATCCAAGGCCAATTTCTTGGTAGGGATTTTGTTCCTAACTTACTAACACCTGTTTTTCTCTCTCTCTCTTCTGTTTTTGAGGTTAAGGGTTTGAGGTAATCATTTTCTTTTTTCCCCTATG